TGGACGTTCATCAAAACCCTGTTTTGTCAGAAAATGTTGTGATTTTCAGGGATTGGCAGAGCTCTCAGATGCCAGTCACTAGTCTACCCACATGTACTTTCAAGTGCAGGTACACTGGCGTTAAGTGACTGCATGCAATTCCATTCCTCGCCGCTGAACCGTTTCCAGTAAGGGTTATTCATGTGCCTCTACAATACCTTGTATGTGCATTAGAAACACTAGCGAGAAAGCAAGTGAGAGAGATTTAAGCACAGGCCTTGTTCACGTAACACTGGGAATGCCTATCATCTTAATCTAGTGTCTATGCATGAGACATTTGTGTCAACATTTTGCTTCCACAAATCCTGACACCCAAATCCTGACACCAATTTTTAAACTGCATGCATTATTTATGCAGGCAAAATAGAGTATATGCAAATCCAAGTCATCATTGTACAACACCAGACATGAGAATGAAGTGATCTGGAAGTTAATGACTCATTCTGACATCACTGCAAGCACCTGTGGTCCATTGTATAAGCACAAATAATCCCTTCTACGCATTTCTGAACAGAGACATTCAAACGGATGAAAGTATCGTTTGTTCATTTAATATACCAATTTTTATAATGCCTCCATGCTGGGAGATAGCATTGAAAAAACCCACAACACTAATCAAATAACACTGTGCAAATGATCCGGGGGGGGAAAGAGCTAAGGATTAATGAAAAGTCTCCAAAAGAAAGCGATGATGAAAAGGAAAAAGCAACATAGCCAGAGGGGTGCGGATTTCAAGTGAATGGACCTACAGGGAATTACAACCAACAGGCTCAGGGAAAAAGTCTCGGGGAAGAATCACAGCAGCCCTGCCCTCAGTACAGCCCGGAGAAATTCTCAGGATGGAGCAGAGACGGCTCAGCCCATCTCACTGTTAACTTTGGGATGGAAGGGATGAAAAAAGCCTCATGCACCTTGGTACTGGCTCTAAACAACCCTGCTTGATCCCAAAGGACTGTTTTCTGTCCAAGAACACCACTCCAATAGAGTCAAAGGGGGAATCACCCCCGCTCCCCTGTTTTATGCATACCACAGAAGTGCAAAACTCACCTACCTGCATAACACAATGCCGGTCTCACTGTCCTGCTTACCAAACACTGGTTATCTGCGTACTGGATAAGTGCAAGAGTGGCTGAAGTGCACATCTTTCAGTCCCAGTGTTTGCTTTGTAACTTAACTGTATTCCCAATAACTGCATCCTAACTGTAATGGCAGCAGCCAGCTTTGTAACTAAGTGTACTCCATTTAAATGGCACAGAAACAGGAAGCAGGGAGCTGCTGTTAAAAGGGCTGCTATGAAAAGGCTTGAAAAAATGGGAGAGAGTCAGTTTTGGGGCTGCTAATGTGAACTATGCCCATTAACAGTGCGGCATCACTCGCCCCAAGTAAGTGCACAGGCTACACACTGCACATGCATATGAGGAGCAGTATTCTGTCTGAAGTCTCCAAAAGCCATTGCTCAGATGTGTCTCCCACCTGCTGGCATTTATCCTGTTTTTTTTGTCTTGAAGAAGAGGACAGCCACCATCCATGGCACAGGGTGTGTGGCATGGGTTTGGTAGTACAAGAAGTGCTTCTGCCAACCCAGACTATGGTCAGAGCGTCCTCACTAAGAAATCTACTGCTTCTGGTAAACTGGAGGCAGATCCCATCAGAATAGTGTATGACCATGGGGTGCAGTGTAAACCCACTCACCTGTTCAGTGCTGTGTCAGGCACCTCTGTTTTCAGCTCTTCCATAACCATCTTCATCCCTCTCAGGTAGGGACCCGGTCTTGCAGAAATGTCAAACCGAGGGTTATGCCTCATCAGATACTCGCCTAGGAAATGAATGGGGTCAAACTTGGGCGGATCTGTGCTGGTGTCAAGCACCTTCTTTCTTTCCACTTCCATTAGCAGTTTTTCCACTCCTGGGACTAATGTAGGTAAGAGTTTGTCGAGCAAATAGGCCCGGGTATCCCGCGTCTCCTTCTCGTCACTGAACCATTCCTTGGACAGCCAGTCCAGAGGCTCATTCTTTTTTATCTTCTCTTCTTCTGCCTTACAGGCCTGAAACTGTTCCACCTTTGTCTGCTGCAGACTCAGTGCTCTCTGCTGTACTTTCTCATAGAAAGTCTCTTTCCACTGAGCACCGCTTCTGGGGCACAGGAACTCACTGGTCTCTTTGCTTCTCCTTTCCTCCCTGACAGGTTTGTTCTTGACGCTGAGTTTGGGGAGTTTCAGTCCAGAGTTTTGGGCTTCTTCCTCTGGCTGAGCAGCCATATTTCACTGCAATAAATGCAAAAGCAGACTCATGTCAGGTAATTCTGGAAGGCAAGACAGCAAGATAAAAGGGGACAGAAAAATACAAACTGATACGTTTAGAAAATAATCAGTGGATACTACTGTGTTCCTTTTCCAATTCAGATACTACTACTCTGCCATCCTAAATAAATGCACAGCCTTTCCTTCTACGATCCAAAAATGCTTTACAAAAATAAATGAATTATGTTTCACAACAGCTTTAGGAGATACAGAAGCTAAATGACCGTTTCTCTTTTTCACAGATGGGGGGAAACTGGGGACCCAGATCACCCACCAAGCCAGAAGCCAAGGTGCGGGTGGAATCAGGAGTCCTGCCTTTCAGTTCCCAGTTCTAAGCAATGGATTACAATTCTCCCTTGTGTGACTGCTTCTCTGTAGTTCCCTTTCCATGCTCCAAACTTCTCAGCTAATTGCAATGGATGTGAGATACAGGAAGTGAGTCATGCGCAGTAACATGCCTAGAGTGCTTTCCATGTCAGATCTGCACACCTCTTTTCTGTTAAGCAGAACCATGCGCTTTTTCTCTAACTTTCCCACGTGCCCAGGGAGCACTGGCCCACGTGTCGGATACAAGGCCCAGTTTATTTCTTTTGCAAATGTTTTTCCTCTGCACATCTGCCAGTGTGGAATGTTCCTCTCAGCAGAGGGGACCGGAGCATCTGCTCTGGGAAAGGGGAGCTGTATACCAGGTCGACACCGAGACTGTACAGTGAGCTGTTCCACAACATCTGTTTTGGTGGGTCACTTTGTATGAGACGGTGCTTCTGGCAGACCCCATATCCCTTGCTCTGCTGCCTGGCTTTCAAAATGTTCATTCTGCAGAGCGCCAGAAAGGAGCGCCTGGATTATGAGCCACAACTTGAAAGTTGCTGCGGTAAGCCTCCGCACGCAGCGCTCTCATCCACCTCCCTGGGTGTTACGTACATGGAATGCAGGCAGAATGTGGACTGACTAGTCAATTCAGAGGCTGAGAAATCACCCCCACCCTGCAAAAAAACCCAACCCAGGCTTAGACAGGAGCAAAGATTACATCAAAATGAATAGTGCCACTAGGAGACAGGTTGACTAAAGCTGTGTCGTTCCAAGCGAAGCCTGAAAGTCCACCCTGACCGTGCTGTTGCACTCCCCTTCTCAAGCTTCTTTTGCGGGAGGCAGTTCTCACTGTTGGGTCCCTGCGGTATCTGTGTTGATAGGTTGGCTTTTGATATATTCTGCTATTTCCACTTGCAACTTGAACACTTGTGGCTGCTCCAAAGTGTTTAGCCTTTCAGGAAAGGCATAAACATGATAGATGGCCATCTCGGCACCCCAGTGTAATTGCTAATACAATGATTTGTCGGTTCAGAGCCACTGCCTGAGTACAAACATTTGTTGCAAGAGGTAGGATGCTTCATAGTGGTAAATTTTTGGGTCTGATTTTTGGAGGCCCTTAGTCATTTGCCTGCTAAGAGTTATCATCTGCTAAGGAGATACATTAAGCTACCTAGCTGGCCTAAATAAAGGGTTGTAAAATGGTAGCTGTCTTGCCTGCGAGAGGACGTAACCTGTAAAGGAGCATAGATTTATAAAGGTAAGAAGGGAACCTATCAGCAGGATCACCTTGCTTCTTGCTAGGTGAGTTTCTTTTGGTAAGATGAAAACCCAAGTTCCTTTTGACCAATAGTGCAACTTTTTGCCAGAGAAGGGTGTTAACTTGCTGGCCTGGGTGGATCCCAAATCAAACAGTTGTGTTGTGCCAAAATAAACTCCTCTTGACATTTCAGCTGGTGATGGTATTTTTCTTCAGGTCCTTTATTATACTGCCGTGAAGTGTTTCTGCTGCATTCTGCTTGAGAGAGAACTGCATTTCAGTGCTGACAGATGTGTTCCTCTACCCCTAACCTACCTGACTAGGTGGGGGTGAAGATTATCTAGGACTCATAACGAACTTTTAGATCTTTGAATGAAAGAGATAACCAAAGGGCAAGATCTCAGTTGGCCTGATTCTCCACTCCAACTTTATACTGGTGTAGCTCCAAAACTGGGGGAAGAGAAGAGAGAGCTAGGCCCACTGCTTTAGCAGCTAACGTAAGCAAAGCAGGAGATGGAGGAACACCTAAGAACAGCAAATAACTGTTACAAGAGGACCCACATTTGGGGCAGACTCCAACATCCCTAGCATGTTAATAACTATGGGGCAAAGGTCTCAATTGCTGTGAACTGCCAGAGTATCACTGACATCTGTACATGTATGCTGATCTACACCCGCTGAGACTTTCTACAGTACACAGAGCCCTTCCCAGCTATGACACTCCCAAGTAGAGTCTGGCCTGACAGTCCTGATAATGACAAGCACAGTGCACAGAGGCATACTAGCATAAGGCATACCCATGACATCTGAAATAATATGAACTTCTTTGCAAGCCTATATTCAAAGTCAAGGCAAGACATGCTGTTCATCGTTTAGTAGAAGACCATTCTCCTGGCTCCCTTCCTCTGTGACAAATGTTCTTGATGGAATCCAGGCAGGTATGGGTTGATTCCCTCTCTGCCTGCAGTATGCTGTAACACTGATAAAGATCCATTCAGCAACAGGATGGGTTTCACTAGAGAGACTTTTCTGGGTAAAATATGGCCAAGGAATGATTTGGAGGGTGTCTGAGCTATTGAAAGTCTTTGGAAAGAAGAGTCTTGTCTGTGGAATTTGTTGGCCCTGCTACTGATCCAGAGAGCCTTGGCTTTTTCCCCCAGACAGCTTCACCTGGGCTCTTATTTAACTATTCACTAACTTGCATGGAATACTTTTTCCTCTTTTAAATCCCTCCTAAAATCAACTCTTACCAAGACTTCCGCTTTGCTTCTTGGAGCTCTAAAGAAGAACTATTTTTCTTACCTTCCCAGCAGGTGCTGAAACAGAAATGTTTCCTCCCCTGTTCAGAATGGCATTGCAGATGAATAGGAATTTAATACATGCCCATCTGTTCCTCCCCATTAAAAAACTTACATGCGAATTAGGGATTTCTCGGTCCTGCTGTGGAGCCAGGCGGCGAGTTTTACTCCTGTGTGTGTGTGTTTGATGTTGCTAAGCAATAATCCCAAAGGTTGCTATGTCTCATCTGTGACTTAGAACTGCTGCGGACTGTCTTCTGCCTTCGGCAGCTCACTTGAAACTCTTCCTCTGCGAGCTTAGATCACTCTGTTTCACAATCAAAAGAAAGAAGACGATGGCATGGCAGAACATATTGCATGCAACTGAAAGGCTGCCAGCGCGAATACCCACAGGTGCCTGCTGAGAGTAGGCTGACCTTCAATGATTCAAGGAGCACGAATCCCAGCCCTGCTACAAGTGCTGGAGACACAAGTGAGAGTTATAGGGTGAGCTGAAGACTGAACCGAACAGATGTGGCAACCCGAGAGCAATAAAGAGAAATTATTTCCTGGCCAAATTTAATTAGACATTGGCAGGGTCTTCTTTTCATTAAGAATAAAGTACTTCTGGAGTGGCCTGTTGGATGAGGTATTTGCAGTAAATGCAAGGTCTTCCAGGAGCTTGTTCTTGAAGAAGACCAGATTTAAGATAGAACGGGAGGTGGGAGTCCAATGACTGGCTTTTTTAATATCACTTTTCCCTTATGTTCATAAAGGGGGACCTGCTCCATAGGCTGCAAAGGAGAGGAGGAAGGAAAGTGATGTGAGTGGGACTAATTCTGCTCACAGTTGCACCAGAATATAGCTAGAGTCACTTCTGTTCATTCAGCAGGGTTAGGCTGGACTTACACTGATGTAACCAAGAATAGAATTTGTCCCAGTGACTTTGGTATTTGGGTTTTTCCAGGACATGGTGTTTCTATTATGTTGGCTTTCTTTTCTTTTTTGTATTTTAAGCTGCATGACACACAGATTGAGCCACCTCCATCTGCACAGGAACTTTGGACTATGACTTGGTATTTTGGTATTTATCACTGGAACAACTGACTCTGCTACCCTGCAGCAGTGTTAGGGACGTGCATTTTACAAAGCTTGCCTAAAGCAGAAGAAAGGGTAAAATATATGACCCTCGTCTACACTCAGGTGCATCGTGTGCCTGAACCACGTTCTCTGACCTGCTCAGGAATGTCTAATTTCACATTCGGTACTCGCTCCTCCTTTGGCCTTAGGGGAGCCACTTAATCTACCTACCGCAGTTTCCCCAACACATGTGAGCACTGTACAATTTGTAAAGCCCTCTGAGGTTGTAAAGCCCAAGAAGTAAGATTTATCCCTGGCCAGAGACCCAGCACAAAGCCAATGTATCACTCGATGATCCTCTTACACCCCTGACATCAAATTTGTTCCGAAGAGTAGAAGCTGCATTTAAATAATGCATATGCCTCATGTAGGTCCTCCACCCAGCAGGGACTATCATGATTATAAATTGGGGGCCAGCTCCAGCCACTCATGGGGAAGTACTGCCTTAAAATCACAGCTGTTTCTGGAGAGGAGGCTACTTGGCTCAAGCGCTTCATTTTTATTTTCATCTACGTCCTGCAGTCCTGCCTTTTAAAACCACACATGGTTGTAACTTCTATAGATGCCTTTGGCCATCTATTCTGAATGCTTTGAGACTGTCTCTGCAACGGCATTTCTCCTGGATACACTCAAACATCACTGAAATGTCAATTCGGCCAGCTAAGAAATAAGCCGTATGCACTGCAATACTTGACTTAAGACCATAGCATTTCTTTGCAGGCTGGGACCGTGGCACAGGAATCTTATAAATCAGCTTTCATGGGGAAGTACTTTGGCGTGTAGTGTTATTTTTCTCTAATTCAGAAACCAGATGACATGGGGATAGGTACTATATTTTTCAACCTGTATTGAAACAGCCCCTGGGCCACTATAATACAATGCATCAGAAGGTTTGTGCATGGGACTGTTAGACTAATAAACAATGAGGCTTTAAAATCCATTCCCCTCCAACCAGCCTCTACACGACTAATTTCTGTTGGGCTTTTCGTTCCCAGGTGTACTTGTTGTTTCCTCTTCGCTGTGCAAACTTGTTGCCCTGATCGATCTATACATCCTTCAGCAAACAAACAAACAGCAATTGTAAAAATACCCTCGTTTCCCTCAAAGCTGCTGTTTAATCACCAAATGAGAACATGCAAATAAAGCCTGGCAGGAGTGCTCAAGATGGCTCTATTTTTATTTCTCTGGGATTTAAACACTGGGCTTAAGCAAAGCAGTAATCACACCCTATTTAACTCGGTTGTTATATCATAATGTTTTCTCAAAGCAAAGTGTATTGTGTGAGCATGCCATCAAACACTTGCACTGTTCACAAAATAGCTTACCATGGATGTCATCACAGATGCTTTGTTCCAATAATGCCTCTTGTACCCTTTGTGTTCATTTTTCTATGTATGACGGAGTTTGGGGTCGTTCTGGTTTTTTTGGCAGTTGCCGTCCCAACCTGGGTATAAAAGCTCTGCCATTTATTAACAACGACAATAAAAACTGTGTTTGCTAGGGATGCATTTGTATATTCGCTAACGAGAGACCATGTCCAGTTTAGGAAGACAAAAACAGCACCAGTCTCCTGTCAAAAGATCATATCCTAGGAGATGGTGAGCATGGGGCCCTCAGCTCTTTGCAGGATGTGACCACAAGTTGATGGCCTCTTTATGTGACCCACACTGCTGTGACCACACGCTGCATTTTAATGGCTCTTTTCAATGAGAATACATCTGCTTATAGTTTTCTCCTCTAAATTTAAATTCTACTGTTAAAAAATACTGCACATGCAAATTATTGCTTTCTAATGGCTGGAAGTCCCATTGATATTCATGGTTTTTGTAGTTAACAACTGAGAAGCAAGACCTTCAGCTGACTGTACAAAGCAACTCCCATAATTACTTGTGGTGACTTCCCAGAGGTGTGAGCTGTTTAAATACTACCGAGGTGCTGTTGAAGAAATGAAAACACGGCAAAAATCTCTGATTTTTTTTGTTACAGGCTCAGGTAAATATTTCTTTAATTACTCTTGGAGTGAATCCCTCCCCTTTTCTTTCTCAAAATCCATTCAGAGTGAAACCCCCATCCCATCTGGTGAGACTGCGCCAACACTTTGGCAAGCAGTAATCTGCACACTGCATCTAGCTGATCTTAACACAGACATCTCCGAACAGAAGACAGACATGGCAGAAGTCCTCCTGTCCCTGCAGGAATCCATCCACCAGAAGGCAATCAAGAAACCAACCCTACTTCACAGAAAAACCAGCAAGATTGCTGTCATATGTCGCAGAGGAGAAATTTTTCCCATCCTCAAATGCGAAGGCTGCTCTCCCCGAAGATAACAGGGACCACAGACCATTAGCTGGCCATCAGCTCAGCACTGTGCCTGTGAATCAGAAAGCATTTCTTTTTCTGCTAAGCTTCTCCACCCACTGTGCCCCCAGCTGCCAGGGAATGTGAAGCACCAGATCCCGTATTCCTTGTATCCCCAGAGCCACTGCAAACAAGAATTGTGTGTCAACACGGACCACAAAATATCATAGCTCCTATTTCCCTATTTGTGCTTTTATCATGCATCAAGCGTTCTGTGACACTGCTCCTAAACACAGCTCACTGTTACTGCTCAGTAGGAGGGGCCTCCCTCCTTTCAGTCCTAACCTGGTGTTTTCATCACAGTTCATCCAGTTTAAAAGAAAAGTGCTGCCTCAGGAAAATGATCACAAACTCCCTGCACTGACCAGTTCCCACAGGTCCCTAGTTTGTGATCCAGCAGCTTCATCCACCCTCTTCCTCACTTCATCTTTTACCCTTGTGAAACCCTTCCAATAAAAAATTGCTGCAAGCAAACCAGAGGCCCTGTCTTGAACTCCCTGCAGGATGCCCTTTGCAGAGATCTGCAGTGGGAAGTGCAGAATCGGGACCCGGCGCTGAAATTGAAAGTCAGAAATGGAATATTTTTGACAGCTTTAAAGCATGAACAAAATGGAAATGGAGGGGCATGAGAAAGCAATACTTTACCTTCAAGAAGGAACTCCTTTGTCCAGAGGGTTTCTGTTTCTGTAAAAACAAGAGAGAAAAACATATGAAATGAAAAGGATAAAAATTACACACGTAAGAAGCCCAGTAAGAATGTGCAGACGGTGGAAATACCAGCAACCTGGCATTTGTTTTGAAGTCACTAAAGCCTAAACAGTCTCTCCCTCTGCTCAGTGAAACCATGTCAATCCATGGCATCTTACCAGGGCGGTTTTAGCTAAGCATGTGCTTCACTGCTTTTCTTGATCTGAGGCCACAGCACTTACTGGAAGAACTGCCTAGGAGGCAGGGTGGTCTGAGACCTGGGGTCAGTGCTTCACTCTGGCACAGACTCCTGACTGGTTTCAAGGGCTCCACCGTCCAGCTGAAGCCTGGACCCTGAAGCTTGCACAGAGTCCCAGAAGCGTGCTCATGTGGAGCTGAAAGTGTCTTTTGCTGACACAGTTAGGGTCTGATTTGTTCAACCAGCAGAGCTTTGCCAGCAAAAGCCTTTGTGCAGCCATCATTATACCAGCATGAGGGTGCTTTCACTGGTAGGGCTTCTGCTGGAGAGGGGACCCTGCGGGAGCTGTACTGATATAAGCATGTCTTTCAATAGAGCTGTGTCCACGCCAGACGGTTTTGCAGGTCTTGATGATGGTATGACCGCGCTGGAGAAACCTTCCTCGGCCAGGTCTGCACTGCCGAGTTTTGCTGGTATCGCTGTGTGGTTAGAAGCCTGAAACAAGCAGTCCCCTCCCCATCATCACTATCCCAGCAGCCCTCTCACACTCCTTGGGCATGCACAAGGTCTACGTGCAAAAGTATTGTCTTGCAGGCATCACTTATGTCGTTTGGGGGGTAGTTTAACTGGATAGACTCTGGATAGACTCAAGACACCCCTCGGAAAATGCCAGCTCTTAGTTTTCACTCTTTTTTTTTTGACTACAGAAAAATAGTAGAGCAGTTTTTCTGTTGCAAAGAACTATGGATTTCTATTTGAAATCTTGGGGTTTATCTTGTGAATCATCATCAGTGCATTGTGTGCCACCCTGCAGCACCCTTGAAAGGATCTCAAGGCACCCCAGAGCGCCATGGCACCCTAGTTGAGAATCACTGTCTTAGCAAACGACAATGCAAAGTATAAATACATAGAGGGTGTGTCTACATGAGATGCTTAATGTACAGAAGACTCATTCCACTGCACAAAGCCCGTGCTAATGCACTAATGTGCAGTAGCTTTAGTCTAATGGGCATTAATGTCACTAAAAATGCATTCATCTGCACTACTGTGCAGTAGTGCTGATTATGATGCATTGTTAGTACCTGTCATTGCAGGTACAAAAATGTGCTGTAATTACAGCGCATTAATGAACGTGTAGATGCTCCCAGAGTGGAGCAGGGAAAATATGCCCTGGTTGGGAGGCTACGGACATTTTAGAACAAGGGGAATAAGTGCTAATGAGAGGGCTGGATGGGGTTTGACCGCCATCTCCCCCATCACACCTTGCACGCTGCTAACACACTGTCCACATATATTATCTATCAAGATAATAACATGACGGCAGCAGAGGCAGGTCAATGAGTCTTTGTGCATGTGCCTCCGCTCGCCCGGATCCCACGGGGGGCTTGGTTTTATGCTCCAAGCATTCCTGCAAAACCCACTTCCTCAGCTCAGCTTCCTCTGCTTTAATGAGCCCGTCTTTCATCATCCTGCATCCACTAGGAGGCAAACGCTCTCATTAGTGAGCACCGCTTTCACTGTAGCAAAGGACAACACGCCAGGATGCGCAGAGCCTCCCTGCTAATTATTTTGACTGCAGGGCACCGGGGGATACAGCAAAGACAGAGCACCGAGGGCTCTGCTCCTGCTTAGACTTACAAGGACGAAAGCAGCCCTGACAGCCCTGTCACCTCCGAGGAGGAGATGAGAGCAAAATGCACTGAGTGCCTAAGAGGCACTGATGGGTTAATGCAAGCCATTGGAGGAGACAGGCGCTTCCGTTCTGTTTGATGCTTATTGTGGCTTCCAGTAACCACATCCCATATTATCATTAGATGCTCACAAGGGGCCGATTCTTTGTCCCAGTGACTCAAGTGGTGAAGTCTGGACACGAGGCTAATTGCTGCGTCCCAGCACAAATGAGATGCATGGGTCAAGCCGCTGACTTGACCAGCCCGGCTGCCCTCCGTCCTCCTGAACGGCTGTCCGGAGTTTGACTTCTCCGCTCTGTTCTAGGCAGACACGGTTCTTCGGGGGGGACGCGATTCCTTTGATTAGACCAACTCGATAGTCGGACAAATTGTTCTGGGCAAGCTTTTGGGCATAAACCTCCTTCTCCAGGCGTTAGATCTGTTATGGCTCCATGTGCCTGCCGCAGGGTCATCGTTTGGGGGGTCTCGGCCTATGCTGATTGGTGCAGCAAGCCCCAGAAAGTCCCACCAGGGCACTGCTTCCTTTGGGGGATGGCTAATTACTTCTGTTCCCCTCGTCCAGGAGAGGGGGGTTACAGCCGCCGCCTCCGCCCTGCCAGCTCTCATGAGTGCATCACAGGACTTGCCGGCCAGCTTTTGAAAGCTCCTGAAATCATGGGTTTCCAGGCAAACCTATGCTTCCATTAACCCCAGTAAAAACAGGGGGAAACGGCGTGTTTCCCGGCCCGGTGGCAGAGGAAGGCTGCAGGCGCGCAGAGGAGAGGACTTGTGGGGTGGGGGGGGGGTCATAGCAGCCTGCAGGGGCGTTGCACAGAGGACAGAGCTGGACTGTCCGCAGGTGGCAGAGAGAGGAGCAATGGGCTTGCGCTGCAGAAAGGGCAGTTGAGGTTCGAGATGAGGAACAACTTTCTCAGGAGGAAGTGCTGGGGCAGGGTGGACTCTGCATCCTCGGACCCGGCTGGACAAAGCCCGGAGACAGAGCCCCGCCGGCCCGTGCAGGGCTGCTCCCAGGGCTGCCTTGGCTCCAGCCCGCGCCGGCACCGAAGGGGTGCGGGCTCATGGGGGCGTGGCCCGGCTGACAGGTGGCGCATGCGCGCTGGCGCCGCATTGTGC